GGGAAACTAATGGAGTTGGGCGAGGATGGGAGTGATAGGATTGTGAAGCCTGATGCGTGAGAGGATACGGGCTGCAGACTTCTGGATGATGCGCAGACTATGGAGGGAAAAGTTGAGGAGGTCGACAAGTGGGGAGTTTGAGTAGTCGAGCCTGGATGTTATGAATACGTGTATGAGACTTTCTATGTACAAGCAGTACCGTACATAGGTCTTACAGCTGTGTTTCGGCCACAAAATATACAGTCAATTCACTTTACAGTATATTCTGTGAAGCGCTTTGAGACGTCTCGAAGATGTGATAAGGTGCTATATCAAATGCAAGGCTGATTATTATAACAAGGATGTTAAAAGATCAAACTGATAATGTTTTACAAAAAGGCCTTTTCCTGTGTTGTTTTGCAACATTTGTTACTTAGATAGTGTTCATGGAATATTTGTAGTGTGAATGCAATCAGATATTGGCAAATAGGTCACAGGGGATAGCACAAGGAATTGTGTTATTATTAAGCAGTAAGGATGAATCTATTGATTGCATTATCATTACTGGAAGTTCCAAGTTTCTGCACACACTAGTTCAGTGGTTCCTCAGTGCTTGGGATTTTGAAGTGCCTCTGGTGTGGTTATGGGGTAGGAGGATGTTGTGGAGGGTGACTTGAAAGTACAGTTTATAATCCGGGTTATTTCAAAAGGACGAGCTGTGAGTTAGACAGGAATTGAGTGCAGATTGGAGCTACACCAAATCTTAAAAGGGGGGCAGATATTGGGGACCAATTGGACATGTACATAATCTTCATTTGCTCAAAGCTTTATTTGACACTTCAAAGCCGATGGTCAGCTAAGGAGTTGACACTGATACATTCACATTGTAGTATCACTGACTAAGGTGACCTACGCCTTGTTTCATTTCTTTAGCAGTCAATCACAGCTGATTTCACAGCAGTCAGTGACTCAGACCAATGCTGAACCAGAGGAAGATTTTGTGGTTCTTTAACCCACATTCTCCGTAACTCAAGGATTGACTAACCAAGGTTACCTCTGTATCAGTGGCATTCCTGTATATCAGAGCAAGCCCCTGAATGAGGGCACTACCTCTACCTTTAGAAACGTTTTAGAATAAGGGCTTCATTTCACTTCCAGAGTTGTGCAAGCTCTTGCATTTCCAGTTCCATGTTCCAGCACTGATTCCCACGGCTCTGCCCTGGTACTGACGTAGTTTCTAATTGGGGCCAGAACTGACAAGTTATGATTAGTTTATGAAAAATTGAGAAAACTGGATCTAAAAGAGCTTGATGTAGAAACAGTTTGGGATTGCAGATTGCGAGTAAGTCAGTTATGTCACTCCCTTGCAGTTTGGCTATATTGTACTTTTTTTAAAGTCAAATAGGGTTTACTGTACTGTGTTTAAATGCAGCATGGAAAATTGATGTCACTGTCAGTTTTTCCAGTGTCAAATTGTCTATGCACAAACAGTAAAAATCCACTTTGTTTGTGCCAGCGTTTCATCCATATAAAGACTGGGAGGACCTGCTTTTCCTAGGAAAGAGAACTGAACACTGTAATTTAGAAGCTACAGAATATAGTTTTATTCATTTTAAAACCCCATTTGTATTTTTGTTTGCTTACATTAAAAAAATCTGAGCCACCTTTAATTTTGAAATTCATGCTTGCGAATGTTTACTGTGATTACTTCAGATGCTTCATATTTGAGGACTCCTTTGGTCTTAGTCTTATTTGTTCTTATGTATATGCTGCTCATTGAATAGACATGATGTTTGTTTTGTTAATATAGACTATGTAACCTGTGGTACATCAAAAATCTAATGGTGAGAGTTTCAAAATTAATTACTAGCTTTAAACAGGCTTGGTGCAGTACCGCAAAACAGTATGTTGGTAGTGATTGAGGGCATGTAAAAACAGGTAGGACATGAGCCGATACTTGCCTGAACTTGGTCGTAGGTGGTGGTTATTGACAGAATCAAAATGCTGCAGACTACTCTAGATGGGTTCTGTGATCTTGGTAGATTTTTTTTATGAGTACAGTACACAATTAAGGAAGAAGGAAGGGGCATAGTTAAAGTACACAATATCCAAGTACCAAAGCCATTTTATCCAGACTATGCAGCTATCAGTGGTATTCCATCCATCCATGGTTTACATCTCTATGCCTTTAGGGACTCTGACTCACTTGCACAATGGCATTGAAACAAACCCAAGTATCACTGAAGTGATGATTTGGAGATTTGTGATCCAGATATTAAAATACTGAGTCATAAAAAATAAAATATTTCAAGTCATGGATAAAATAATTGCAAGATGGTTATTCAGCACAGTCTACGATTGTAAAACAAAACCCAAATAAAACAAATTGGCAGACCACTAGTAAGACTGAAGTTCAGAAGAATTTTGTTTTTCCCAAGAGAATAGAAGATGTATGGAAGTAACTCATAAAAAGTACATAATGGGGGCAGTCCCGATGGTGTGGTAGATAGAGTTGCAGCTTACGAACCAGCAGCTCAATGGTTTGAATCCCAGTCAGTGCTCTGTTTGATGGTCTCAGATGTATGTAATTCATGTAAAGGCTAAATTGGCTTGGCCTTCCTAGGGCGAGAGAGGGGAAGACAGGGTTCCTGCTCTTGGTTACTCTTCAACATTCTCTATTCGTTGTTAGCTATTTTGCTGCTCGTGGAAAATTGTTTTGTGCAAATTGGCTGCCATGATCATCTACAAATACACAGTAAACACGCCTTATGGTGAATCCTGTGTAGCACTCTGAGACGTTTCATCATTATGCAAGGCACTATATCAAATCCAAGTGTTTGTATTATTTATGCATATGGGCAGAAGTGAGTCTCAGCTGTGCGACTCTCTTTAGTCAAGTGACCTATCAACATTCACTGCCATGATTCGTACATGAACAGTGGCCACTTGGATGGGTACCAGTGGACCAGCATCCATGAAACCATGCACCAGCAAGAGGAGGCCACACAAGGAGCAGAGAAGAATATACTAGTGGGGAGAAAATTAGAAGCATAATCGGACACTAAAATGTTTTAGAATGTCAGTAATAACAATTTGCAACACCCTTCGTGTGGGATAGCATCTCAGGGCACTGAAAAGAGCAAATTACACTTTTTTGATAAACTCCTTTCAAATAATGGTTATGAATGGGACTGAAGATGTAAGGCTAAGTACAGAACATTATGTATTATCCACCCCTATTGGTTTCAGAAGCATGTTTAATATATAGAATGCAGCCAGTCACAGTTGATTAATGTCGACTGTCATTTAGATTACTAATTTGCCTGGAAATCAAAAAAATATCAGTTTTATTTTATTGAAAGGTTTGTTTATGGTAGTTCACCTCCTTCAGAAAATTCAATGAGTGAAGAGTCCATAGAATTTTCTGTTATCTGTTTCTGTGACTGGACTCTTTGACCTTTTTGGTTACAGATTTTTCAATGTGGACTTGCAGATGGAGGAAGGGTGGTTTAAAGCCCTGGGACATATGTAGGTAGAGCAGCTCAACTCAACAGTAATCTTGTGCAAGACCAAATATGGAAGCAAAAGAAAAAGAGGTGGAGGTTGGATGAGTATCTCAGATCTTAAGGCATTGGATCCAGATTCGAAATTAGTGTACAGTCCTACCCGTTTATGTCGACATTAAGAGGACCAAGCAGATTTCGTCAACATAAGTGGGTTTTGACATAAATAAATGAACGCTGTCAGTCACTGGCAGCCGCGGTGCACGCTGGGGAGTTGTAGTGAGGGTACAAACTGAGCGCCATCCTCCCTGACTCCAGGGGACTACATATGTTCCGCACACTCTAAAGCTTAAGTGGAGTGTTTCAGTGCTTTGATCTGATTAATGATGTACAAGTACTCGTCGTAGAGCCAGTTGCAGCGCGGGAATTCAAGGGTTAAAACAATCGGTCTTTTGACATAAGAACTTAATGTACCTAATGCTGTTAGGGACTTGGAAAAATTTGTCGATATAATCATTCCCAAAATTTATGCTGAAATCAATATACGTGGTAAATTTAACGTGTTCCCGTGCGGGGAAGGTCCCGACACTTCAAATTTATGTCGACAAATGTGGGATGTCGGTATCAACTGGCTCAAGATAAGTGAGTAGCACTGTATAACTTTGAGTGTGTATTGCAGGAATAGCTTTCAATTTAGGACATCACAGTAAAGTTTTTGCTTGTGCCAGCTGGGTGTCTGACACATGCAAACCCAAAGTGAGTAAGTATCTGCTGAAGAACAGTACTGAAGGATAGAGAATAGGTAAAAATAAGACCAACGAATATCCCACAGAATACAATGGCTTCTGTGTTGCAAAGGCCCATGTAGTGGTGTTGCCAGTGAGAGAAGGAGGCTGTAGATTGAGCTATATGGGGAATATATGGTTTGAGCTATAGAGAGAAAATTTTCTAGTGTGTGATTGATTCTTTGTGATTCAAAGAGCATGTATACAATACGTTTCACCCAGGGGATGCAGCAGTTGGTTGAAATTTATGGTAGGTTTTGCATGGTTGTAGAGGGACTAGGCTTGATGGCCTTCTTGTTCCTTATGTTCCTTGTTTCTTGGACTCTTTATTGCCATCCCTTTTGAGATTTGTTAACTTAGTAATGAAGATCATACCAAGGTGCTGGTCTATATAACTGCTCTGTTACTCTGTCCTATTGTCATCCTGCTCTTGCTTCTATGCAGATTGATTTTACCAGTATATGCTTAAAATAGCTCAGACCAAGTAAAACTGATATTAATTATGTTTTTTATTCAAAATCTGTGCAGCCAGATTAGTTGAAAATTATTTCTCATCCCGGATTTATCCAATAAAATGAAATGCTTATGAAGGAATGTGGAAGTGCTGAAACTCTTTATTTTGCCTCGTTGACTTGACACAAAGCATTGCAAAAAGTCCAGAAGAGTGGAGCTGCTTATTGTATATTTAAAAAAAAGTAAGGATTATAATCAGTTGATGCTTCTCTTTTCACAGCTGACCCACCGGCCCTTGGTTTTATCATCTCTCCCTGGTCGCTGCTGCTGTTACCCTCTGGCAATATTTCCTACACTGACGAGAATGTTTCAAACCAGGATCTGCGAGTGTTCACAGCCCCTGAGATATTACAGAATCCGACTTTGTCTTCACTCTCAGATATTGAAAAGGTACGATACTACGAGGACGGCCGTGTGGGAAATGATTTGCTTAAAGTCATCTGTAAACATTTCACAGGTCAAAATTGAGAGGTGGATGTAATGGAAGCGATTTTTTTTAAAAAGAAAAGCCCATGGGGAGAAATTCCATCTGGGTCTATATTTATCCTATTAATGTAGCTATTCAGAGCATCCAGAATTTGGCAAGTTGTTGAATTTTCTATTAGTTTTGGAACGATTTTTTAGCAAAGAACCACAGAAAACTGACTTCAAAGTTAAACTGAATTCAACAATGTGCCAAATTCTGGATTTCCTGATAACTTTCATAAAGTAAATATAGACCGAGGTGGATTTTTTTTCTCCAAATGAGTATTATTATCATAAAAATAATAATCCTTATATTTGTTACAGCGCCTTTCATGTCAGGAGGACATGACAAAGCACTTCATAGGATATATTGTAAAGTGTGTGTTTTGTGGGTGAGCACAAAGCTGGAAAGCGACTCACATCTTTGGATTCAACATTAGTTGCCTCTTTGTGCTTACCACAAAAACACACTCTACAGTATATCCCGTGAAGAACTTTGAGCTGTCCTCCCCCATTACCCAAACCAGATTGAGAGATCCATGTAGTTACCATCACATGGAAATTCCCATTTCTGGAATGGAATGTGACTCCACTTTCTCCCTTACCTACCTCTGGAGAGTATCAAATACAGGCAGGTAAGAGCCAAGGCTTGGTGGACCACAGAGTGTGTGTTGAGTGTCCGCTCAGCTGCCACTGCCCTCCCAACTTCCAGCCTCTCCCTACCCCCACCGCACACAATTACCCATCCGGCAATTACCCATTCCTTCTTCCACACCTTTGAACCCATCACCCCCTCCTCTGTCTTCAACACGGTAACCTCCATGAAGTCCACCACCTGCTCCCTCGACCTCGTCCCTACCTCTCTCCTTAAATCCCAACTCCACTTCCTTGCCCACAGCATGGAAACTGCTCTGGTCAAGGTCACAAATGACATCCTGACCATGTGTGACCAGGGCTCCCTCTGCCTCCTCGTCCTCCTCAACCTCACTGCCGCCTTTGACACTGTGGACCACTCGATCCTCCTCCACCGCCTCTCCTCCCACCTCAACCTTCAAGGTTCTGTCCTTGACTGGTTCAGATCCTACCTTTCACACCGCCTCCACTCGTCGCGGTAAGCGGTTTCTCCTCCAGCCCCCGCACCGTCTTGTGCGATGTTCCTCAGGGCTCTGTTCTTGGTCCCCTCCTCTTCACCCTCTACATGCTCTCCCTTGGTGACATCATCCGCAGGCATGGGGTGAATTTCCACATGTATGCGGATGACACCCAACTCTACCTCTCTGCTTCCACCCTGAACTCCAGGACTACTGGGGTGCTGACCAACTGCCTGTCCAACATCAAGTCCTGGACAAGGGCCAACTTTCTCCAACTCAACTTCAGCAAGTCCGAGGCCCTCCTGATTGGCTCGCGCCAGTGCCTCCGCATCTCAGGAGCTGGAAGCATCAGCCTCCACGGTTGCACACTCAACCTCACTAAGTCAGTCAGGAACCTGGGTGTCTTGTTTGAGCCTGAACTGTCCTTTCTGCCCCACATCTGCGCCATGACCGGCACTGCCTACCACCATCTCTGCAACATAGCCAGACTCCGCCGCTGCCTCACCCCTCAGGCTGTCAAAACACTCATCCACGCAATCGTCACCTCAAGGCTTGATTACATGAAATCCCTCCTCATCGGCCTTCCCAACTCTTCCCTTCACAAGCTGCAGATCATCCAAAACTCTGCAGCTCGTGTTATCTCACGCACCAGGCTCCGTGACCCCATCACTCCCTCCCTCGCCCGACTCCACTTGCTCCCTATCCCCCAGGAGATCGAGTTCAAGATCCTCGTCCTCACCTTTAAGGCCATCCATGGCCTTGCCACCTCCTACCTCTCTGATCTGCTGACTTCCTACCAACCTGCCCGCTCCCTCCATTCATCAGGCTACGGCCTACTCCATGTCTCCCGCCCTACCATCGGTGGCCGGGCTTTCAGCCTCTCTGCCCCCACACTCTGGAACTCCATCCCACGGTCCCTTCGACTCGCTTCCTTCCTTGCCTCCTTCAAGGCCGGACTCAAGACCCTTCTCTTCGTCCGTGCCTTTGGTCTCCCTCCCAACCCTCTGCCTTCCGTCACTCCTACAACACCCCTCCCCCATACTCGGGCCCCGACACCTGACTGTTAAGCGCTTTGGGACGTCCTCCCGACGTGAAAGGTGCTCTATAAATGTAATTTTGTTGTTGTTGTTGGGGTACTAGTGATGTTTAATCAATCAACTAGAAGGCTTGCAATTCCCTACAATTTTCTCCCTTCCTCTTCTGAAAGATTGACTTTTTGCTGGGGTATGATTCCATGGGTATTTGTTGTCTTCTGGCACCTCAACCAAATATGTGTAGACGAGGGGGAAATGAGGCCATTTGCAGCATCACCACAACTGCCACAGGTCAGGTTTGCTAAGTCAGCACAGAATTGGAATTGAATTTAATCTTTCAGTATTCCTGGTCTGGATTGTTAGTGCTTGTAGAAGCATATTGTGTACACTATTACACTACAATAAATCTGCTTTTCTCAAATCACGTTTTATATGAAGTTCTCAATTGTGGCATTGCTTTATGATTAGTTTCCCAAGTGCCTGTGTCACGTATTGAGTAAAATCTTGCAAATGTGACCTACTTGACCGTTTCAGAAATGATTCACAGTTTATTACTTTTCGTCCAAAAACCTTTTCATGGCAAAACATTTACCTTAATCTGTGCATTTCAGGTTAACTCTTAGTCAATAATTAATTTGGATTTCTTGGTCTGAGACAAAGTAGATAGCAGTAGGCCTAAAGAAGCAGCTGAAGAATTTCTAGTTCATAGTTATTGAATTTTCTGCCCCTAGGGGTTAAGATTGAAGGCTAGGTGGAGTGGAACATTTTCTCATGTTTTTCTCTATTAAGCACATCCAGGTCAAGTGCCCCATGAGCTTCTTTTACACTTAATTCTGATCTTAAAGGAGCACACCTCCTCCCATTGCTATATCAGTGAGTTTTCTTCATGTCCACACTTGCCCTCCTTGAACAACATCTTATTTCATGTCCTGAGTGAGACTCATTGTTGTGTTGTGGCTCCATGGTTGGGTTGAAACTGCTCAAACTGCTTTCTCAGGCAGCAGGATTCCTAGATGGAGTTCTAGACAGACTGGTTGAAAAACTTGTCCACCGATGGTGAGGTGGGACAGATGGAAGATATGAAGCAGGCATTACATTCTACAAAAAATGTAACATTCATGCTTTATGTTCAGTATTTAATTTCCTTGCACTTTGATAACAGTGTATATTCTTCAGTTATTTCTAAGCTGTACCATATTTAAGTCTGGATGCCCGTGTGCAGTAAAGTTATTCTGTGGGGATCAAAAGAGACATGTTTGCATTTGTATGAGGACCCACATTAGTTGGTGATCCTAAGACCTGTGCCACATTATGCCTGATCTGAACTGTCTGGAATATTGATGTTAAATGTTTAACTTGGTACAGATGCTTAGATCTATTCTGTTAAATGTAGCTGAATTTTATAATATTCCAATCATTGGATAATGGTGTAATTAAAATTGCTTACTGAGTAACATAACACATCTTTATTCCTGACTTTTGTTTATTTTTTGGGGGGGGAACTATAAAGACAATTAAAGATAATTTTGAATCAAAAGAGAACATATGTGGATGATAAAAATCTATTATTTTCATTTTTTTCATGTTTTTTTCTTCTACTGGGGTGAAGTTCCATTAGTGTAAGAGATTCTAGCATCTCACTAAAATAACTCCTGTATGACTATTGAACATTGTAAGGCTGTATATCTCACCTGATGCTGTCCTCACCCTATATTCACATGCATTGTGCCTTTCAAATCAGAAGAGTGTCTCAAGGATTTCCACAGAGCCGGCTAGGAGCCCAAGCTGGGGTATTTAAGGAAGGTGTGGTGATGGGGGGTGGTGCTGGGGAGTTTATAATCATGCATTGACTATCGGATACAAGTCCAGTATGTGTATCTGTCAGTTAATCCATGGCTAACTTTAATACCTGTCAAAAGCCTTCGGGGAATGAAGAGAATAAATTGGTAAACGTTGGTTTAACCTTCTCCCCCCTGAAAAAAATTGCCCATTGGTTTATAATCTAAATGTAAAATTGGTTTAGAAGAGTGAATCATTCCCATACCTCACAACATTTGTGATCTTTTTAAACCATACTGAACTATTGTTATCTTTACAGATGCACGTGTATTCTCTTGGAATGACATTGTACTGGGGAGCAGACTATAAAATACCTCTGAATCAGGTGAGTGCTGTAGTTTTTCAGTTCTGTATTCAAAGGTATATATATTTGCAGCTGAAGCTGGATGGGCATATTGAATACAATTCAGAATTTTCATGCCTATGTTCAGATTATTGAATATTTTATCCCTGTACCACTTCCCTAAAACTACTTCAAACTGAAACACCATATTTTATCCCTATACCACTTCCCTAAAACTTACTTCAAACTGAAACACCAAAATTCCACCTAAATATTAGCCATGGAAGCTGTGTGTCCAACCTCCTGGTGTATTGTATACCCAGACTCAATCAGGGAGCATCCTAATGCATCCTTATCACTATATATGAGAATTAGGGAGTTAGTATAGTGTAAGAACCCAGAAATCAAGCCATAAAATGTTTTAATTCTTAATATAACTTCATGAATAAGATTCAGTCTTATTTGAATATTTTGAATCAGTTACAACCTTCTTGCAATAGATTCTTGTGAACTTTAATCATAGCAATAACAACTTATTCAAGAGATCATTGATAATGATTCATTGACTCTGTATTTATTTAAAGAGAGAAGGTGTCCTTAATTTTCTCCCCCAAATCGATACTGGTGCCAAATATAAGGCTGGTTTTATTATACCTGTTTTGAACTTTATCCGCATCAAAGAGAATTGGCATTGACAGCTGTATTCTTAAATATAAACAGATGGTTTGGGAAACTTTTAACAGATGGAAAGTGTGGCATTCCAAAAAAAGTTTACTGCTCTTGAAGTCGAGATGTGTGTAACTTTGTTGATTTGTCTACTAGTAGTGTCTCAAATTGTTAGGTGCCAACTGTTTTGTTTTATAATTTGCATTTCATAAATTGTTATTGTCTTTCCAGTGCCCTTTTGAAACATTACTGCCAATAAATGGAATGATTTAAAGCTGCAGGTTACGCATGACTCAAAGGAGAGAACAATAGAGGAGTGTTCATTTCCTCATCCACCCTCCCATCTAAATAATTTGGAAAATAAATGATCATATCATTTCCCTCCTTACAGAAATTATTTGTGGTACCTTCTGGGTATTAACGATGCTTTTTAAATGCTAAAGTTAGAAGTGAAGCACAAATCATGTACAATGCATACCAGCAGCTGTTTGGGAAAGTACCAATAATTTGCAACTGGGTTTGGTTTGATTTAGTTTGGTTTGTAAATATGTTATCACAATTACAGTACATTCATGTAATATTCAGCAGACTTAATAGTTTTTTTTTAAAAATGCGAAGCGTTTTAAAAACTTGTGCTGCTGTATATTTATGGAGTGACAGCCTTGATGTTCAGTGATGTGGTTTATTATGCTGGCTGACAAGTCAATCAAGCCAAAAGAACTTTGTGGTGTCTGGAAATTAACGTCACTGTGAAAGAGGTTATTGCCTGGAGCGGGAATTTAGCTGCTTTGTTGTTAGTTGTCAGTTCTACAGTTGTGCTGGGAAATCCATACTTCGATTATTGATATCCCCAATTTAAAAATTTGAGGTTTTTTTAATAAATATAACTGTTATAATTGTTACATGTGAGTATGTAATCAATATTACATACTCACATGTTTATTGGTGTGTTCTATAGTTAATGCTATATGTCCTCATTCAGGACCTCATTAGTTTTGTTGGTACAATTTAGTAGTACTTTCCAATTTTTGGGGGGCCCCATAACAACATCAAAGAAAAATGATCTCCTCACAGAAAACAATAATTATCTCACAGCTACTGCAAATAGAACTGTGAAATAGATGATGCAACACTGAACATATCACAACTTGTCATCACCACATATTTACACATAAATATTTTGAAAGTATTGCACAGTTGGTTACGATTTAAGTAGCAATTGCCAATGATCTACAGAATGATGCTGTATAATCAGGACTTGGAATTCATTTAGTCTAAGCTGATTCTGCAATGCTGTGCTGGAGAGCGATGAATTGTCAGAGAGGCTGATGCTGCCCTTCAGATGAGATGTTAAATCAAGGTCCCGTCTGTCTGTTCAGTTGGACATTAACAATCCCATGGTGCCTTGAGAAAAGTATAATTTTCTTGGCCAAGAATCCCCCAGATAAAATTGGGCATTCACTTCTTGGCTATTTATGAGTCATTGCTGGTCACAAACTCATTTAAAAACAGCTTGATGGGGTCCTGTCGAGTGGATATTCTGGAGGGCTGAGATTCGATGGGCCTTCAATATCGAACTTGTACTCTTGTGAAAATGGCTGTTGAATTCACCTACAAAAAAACATAGTTATTCCTGTTTACAGTGTATCATGTAAAGTGTTAGAGGCATCATCCTGACATGAAACGCCATAAATCAAATGTAAGGATTATTATTATTCTTAATCCAGGCATGTGTCTTTCTTGCATCAATATTAATGAAGACTGTCAGTGTTAATACTTTGTGTTGTGTTACTTTTTAATATTGACACAGATCTAACCAGAGCAATTGTTTTTCCTCCCTGTGAATTTTAGCCAATCAAACTGGGAGATCACCTGAACAGCATATTGTTGAGTATGTGTGAGGATCTGATGTACACTCGAGTGACTGTGAGGACCACTTTAGATGCCTGCAGTGCTCATATCCGGAACACCAATTGTGCGCCAGCTTTCTCATATGTTAAACAGCTGGTAAAACTTGTCTTGGGAAGCCTAACTGCTGTAAGTACTCGTTGGCTGTGAAGTTCAATTATTCTGTCCAGTATTATTTGTATTATTGAGGTGGGGGGTATCAGTGCAGCAAATGTATTGCTATTGGCAAATGTGACGTGTTTCCAGATGTCGGAACAAAGGCACAGAAGGAGGCTGTTCAGCCCATCAAGCTTGTGGCACAAGTTTCTTACATCTATACAGCTCTGTTAATTAAATGTTTCTGCCTTCATATCCCTCAATGCCCTTATTTCCAAGGTATTTATTAAGCTCCCTTTTTAACATCTCAATTGATTGTGTTATCATATGCCCTATTATAATGAGATTTAGAAAGAAAGAACTTATATTTTCACACCTTTATCATTTCAAAGAATTTTGCTAAGTAGTTGACTGTTTATAGGGAAACCCAGCAGCCTTTGCGCTTGGGGAGGTTCCACAGACAGTCATGAGACAAATGACCGAGTAATATGAAGGATTGTTGGCCAGGATGTCGGGATTGTTAATGTCTATGTAAAGCAGATATTTATTGAAGTGAAAACAAGCAAAAGACCATCAACATCACCAGTCAGTGTCTGAAAATCAAAGGGTTAATGAGAATATAGGACTTGCTAGACAAGAAAAGGCCAAGGTCCGTCTAGTCTGCCTTCTCCCATCCTGCTAGTCGCATGAGAAGTTGACAGCAACTCATTCTGTATGGATTAAATGAATAGTGTACCAAAGTGCATGGTGTTCATGCTTTAACCTGCATTACTCTAGCTGAAAATTATATTTTGAGTTTTGGCTTTTATCCCTCCCATATAGCAATACTTCCCCATTATGAGAATAGGTAACAAGCCAATATTGGTAAATATGAAGTTCTTACTGAACAAGGATTTAACATTGTTTCGTAATTGGATTAAAATTAATAACTTGTATGTACTTTTGTTTTGTAGCTTGATCAGCTCTCTGTCAATACAGTCAGCAAACCAGATCGTAACCAAGAAATCCGGGATCGACTGAGAGGAAAGGGCCTTCCAGTGGGTATGTCTGTTAAGAGAGTAAAACATACCCTTCCTAAGGTACCTCATTCCTTAACATTAGGTGCCAAAACAGAACATGGTGCCAAAACAGTCCAAATGACTTCTCACCAGTGATCTATATAACTAGAGAAGAACCTCCTTATTTTTATATTTCAGATCCCTTATTTAAAAAAAACCAGCATCCCATTTGCCTTATTGATTCCTTTCTGCGTTATAATGATCTCTTTATTATTTAAATTTATTACAGTAAAACTAAATATGTTTCTTTACCCACGTTTAATGAAGATTATAATACAACTTGCATTACATAGCACTCTTCATGCGGAGTAGCATCTCGTATTGGTTAAAATTAAGATTACAGGTTAGAGCATTTTATCACTTCAATGTCTTTAGTGTTCGGAATGGTGTTGCAGTTATTAAAGTGATTGAAAATAGGGATATTTTAATATTAATATTAATTAATTTGACGAAAATCTTCATGATCATACCTTCAAGATGTATATAGCAACACTGTTGAAACCATGACTACATTAGCGTGTTGAACAAATGTTTCAGAAAAAAAACTACTGCATCGGCAGTAAAAGTGAACAATGGGAAGAATAAAACATGGGATGAACCAGCTGTTGGCAAGCGATCATTCATCTCCCAACTACAGTGCGCACGGCTCAAAAGAAATGACATTAGTTAAATACATTGCATGACGTATACCTGCACGACCTGTTCTCAATTAGATGTGTCACCTTGGAAAGAAAAAGCAGGATATGATTCATAGATCTGAGCAGCATGCAGAGGTGTTGAAATATTATTTGGCATTGTGTAATCTGAAGCAGCTGGATGATTGAGTGAACTCTCTCAGATAATGATAATGATATTTTAGGACCTAATCTTATGCAGGAAAATATGTGGAATTGACTGACCTGTTGTGTGATTGATTTCTGCCCGTGTCCCATCTATCAGGACCTGAAAACATGGAGACTCATGCTCTCTATATAAACTTACATAATAGTGACTGAAAATGAAATGTAAAGCTTTAACATTTTCAAGTTTTGATATTTTTCTGCTCTACTGTACACCAGAAGACAGAATGAGCAGAAAAGCACATTCTACAAGTAATGATACATTGAAGGTTGCAATTTTGCAAACTGGATTTGTTGTGTGATTAAAATCTTCTGGTTTGCAAAATTTGCAGCCAGCAGATCATGAATTCCAAGTCAGCAGAGTCCGAAAATGCCATTGAGAAATAGCCGGCCATTAAGCTTTCTTATTTTTTTGAATGGTTTGTATTTTGCCAACTTATGAACTGCAAATATCACCACAAATTTTGCAAACCAGATGTTACAATTAGTACAACAAATCCACATCAGGAATATGACAAATTAGATCCCAGTCACACTGCTAGATTATTTAAAATTACTGGTCAGTGGGAGCAGTCATTCATCCTAACACTGAAAAAGAAATAGAAATGCCTTTGTGCCTGACTTGTTAAAGGTCGGCTCTGCAGACCTACTCACTGTGGATCATTTACTTGAAATTAGATATTATGCATTGACCCTGGTTTTACTGCATTTTATCCATCCCCTTATTTCCCCTAATAAAGCTTGGCCTTCTTCCTCCTAATTTACTGACTTTGATGCACATATCTCTCTCTGGTGCAATTATCTCTAGTCTGTTATCAATTTGTGGCACCAATGCAGCACTCCAGGAGTATTTAACTTGGCTGCTAACTCTATTTTCTCTAGTGACACAAACCAACTGAGTACCTATTTATGTCAAAATGTGTTATCTCCATTCCTGAAATGTTTCCAGTCAAATGAAATCACAGGAATGCTAGCCTTCAGGAGAGTGTGGAGAAACCAATCCCTTGAATCCCCAACCAGAACACTAAACATGTTTAGTGAGGTGAGAATACCACATCAAGTAGCAGGAGACTGAACTAGTGTCAGTCAGGGATGAGCACCTGAGCTGATGGTTGGGATCAGGAGTTGTGGAGGGTTACCAAAGGCACGATTGAAGAGGAGGGTCTTGAAGGAGAAAAGGGAGGAGGGTGGAGAGGCTGAGGCCATAGAGACTGAGGCCCACCCACCAATGGTGGGGCAGGAAAGGCAGGGGACATCAAGCAAACCGGAGCCCGCTGAGCAGAGGGAGTGGACAGATTGGTAGGGGGTTAGGAGGTCACAAAGGTAGAGAGGAGCAAGCTCATGGAGGGCCTTATGTATTGACAATTGCACTAGAGAGAGTAAAGTGTATTGAGAGTTCCATGTTTAAACTGATTTCTTCTGGAAAACCTGTAAAGATGTAAAGGAGAGCATCCCTTGCATTTGGTATCAGTCAACCCTTTGCACCCCTTACATCTGGTATTATTCATTTGTGGTTTTCATTGATGCACTGGGAAGAGATACAGTGTGTTAAGATTAGCGCAGTATATTGCATCTGATCTCCTACTCCTCTTCCAGAACATTGCTTCAGAAATCATACAGCTATATTATGGCAGGTGTCCACTGAGCTGATGAAAAGTTATATTAGAGTCACATTTTAAGATTATTGTTGGGAGTCCAGAAAATATCAATCAATCTATATAATGAAGCTGATTCAGATTAATTGCGTTGCACAGTTCACAATAAGTGACGGCAATGGCAACCTGATGACCCCAAAGTCTTTTGGCAGGAGAACTGGCCATAATGAGGCTGGTGAGCTGCCTGCATGTACAGTGAATGGGGTCCACACACATCAAATCAGTGCTATATGAAGGAGATTGGTATAACACAGCTCCACTGTATTTAAAGAAAAGGAATACTTTGAATTAAATCTCTCATTACATTTTTCAACATTTAACTGAATCTGTTTTTTGAAATCTGTTTATTTATGGCCAACTTTTTTTTCCTGACTTTGTCTACCATTGCTCTTTAAAAAAGACATGAAAGTGTTTTGTTGATTCATATAGATCTGCATAGTTCTCTTGTAGTGTGAGTAGAGAGACCTGAGTTCAATTCCAGGCAGGTCAGGGCGAAACCTTGGGCAAGTTTCCTTACTCCACACAGAGCCTAATAATAATCCCTCCAAAAACCCAAAACAATAATAAATTGGTCATTTTCAATCCAGGACTGTTTGTGGGACATTGCTGTGCGCAATTGGCTGCCGCGTTCGCCCACAAATATGCAGTCAATTCACTTTACAGTGTGTTCTGTGAAGCGCTTTGGGACGTCCTCCCGACGTGAAAAGCGCTATATCAAATGCGAGGATTATTATTATTAGAATGGTCAACAGCTACTTTGCCACTTAACATGGGGTGAGATTAAGTTAAGATGCACAAAATGTCTCATATTACGACCTTATATGACACTGTTCCACGATATTTGTTAAGCGGGGGAAAGGAAGAAGAGATGGAAAACCGTGTGCAAAAATAGCAGCTGATGGGAGTAACAGTAAGAGCTCTGTATTATGATTACTCATATTATAGTACTTTGATGGACATATTGCCATTTCATCTTTTTAGGGAAAAGTCCAACTGCCAACACCTTGGAAAGATACAAAGCACAATTTTGTGACCCGATCTCACTGAACCGAAGACTCAGCAAATCTATGGGTTTCTTAGCAATTTCTGACAGAACAGCAGAAGACGACTCTTCTCACTACACTGCTTCTTCACATGAGGATGCCATAGATGTCTACTACAGACGTCGATCTAGACCTGATGATTTGGAGAGGAGGTCTAATTTCAGTGCTGGTACTGGTCGTAGGAAGAAGTTCTGGACCTCCACAGTTGACCTGGGCTATCACAGTGGTAAGATAGTAGCACTTGGGGATGATCCTCAGAGACACAGCCCTTGTCAACAAGGAAAAATTAGACCTAATAAGAATGCTTCCATCGCCAGGGAGGCAAAGTACTCAGACTGTGGTCAAACACTTGGTCTTCAAAAACCTCACCATATGTCAGAACTTTCAATGCCATCTGCTCTCTCGGGGGCTTATGAAAGGATTAAAGATCGGCAGAAGAAACTGGAAGTCTTGAGAGAGGCTATGGATATGGACGGTAAGCACAATATTCTATGCATGTTATTAGCTGCCTGGTTGAAGGAGAAGTGCAAGATAGATATTGGCTAATATTTCCTTGGCAGGAACCTGGAGTTTTCCAACTCCTTGGGACGTCCTCCCAATGTGAAAGGTGCTATACAAATGTAATTTTGATGTTGCTGTTGTTGGAGTTGGGGAGAAATCGTGTACTGAGTCACTGTTTTAGCTGTTTTTGTTTGCGATGGTTCTGCTTTTTCATAGTTGTTTAGGAAACCTACCTGTATGTTGAAAATTGGTGTGTACTGCATTGAATCCTTTAGTGAGAAGGGATACAGTATGTTAAGAAACAATATTTTTTTTATTGCTGTTATGCATATATTACCAAGTATAGAACTTATCCCTTAACCTGCTCAACTCAGCATTAGTTATGCAAACCGTATCCGATGCCACTGTTGCGAAAGGGTGACACCTACTGAGACTGGCAGGGTGATAACTGTTGGATGAATGTAAGCTGTTGTCTTTGCTTGACTGATATCAGTCCTGCAAGAGAAATTATAATTCAATTACACAATTATATTTAATCTGAATGAGATAGCACCATTTGTCAACCTGGCTCAATTGATAGCACTCTGAGCTCTGAGTCAGAAGGTTGTGGGTTCAAGTCCCACATTGGGACTTTGAACTCATCTAATTTAGGCTCACACTCCAAACCAGTGCTGGGGGATTGCTGCATTGTTGAAGGTGCCATTCTTCAGATGAGACGTTAAACTGAGATTTGATCTGCCTGTTCAAGTGGATACTACAGATCCCATAGCGCTATTCAAAAATAAAAGGGGGTTTCTCCTGGTGTCCTGAACAACAATCCCCCAAATATAATTGGTCATTCACTTTGAGGCTGTTTGTGAGACACTATGTGTTTAAAGTCCCAATGTGGTACATATGGAGTGTGTTTACTTGCATTTCTTTATGCAGCTTTACATTTTATTACTTTGTTGGACAGAATTAGAGTTTTGCTCTCCATTTTTTCATTTTACTTTCTGCTATAAAGAGAGCAAGGCAAAAATAAGGATGAAACTCAGCAAATTTATTGGTGCTATTTGCTGACTACATAGCTGTAGCAACTCTCAATCAATATCATTGTAAAAAAGCAATCTAGTTTCCTCTTCCATTTCTTGACACACTCTGCTTCTACTCCCACCCTAGTTAGTCTATTCCACATATTCACCACTTAATCGAGTCATTCTGACAGTCCATTTAAGTATCATTTTACATTAACAAGGCTGGACTTCAAAGGTTAAGGAAAATAGGAGCTGGATTGATTTCAGCAGACCATTAAATCGTTTCCGCATAATGGTTCTCAACTATATTTTCTGGTTTTATTTTAGTGATGAAACATAGAATCATAGAACTATACAGCACAGAAGGAGGCCATTCGGCCGATCGTGTCTATGATGGCTCTTTGAAAAGAGCTTCCAAATCAATCCCAAGCTGGTTCCTTTCAATTTATCAAAATCTAGATGATATTGTTATAATAATAATCCTTGCATTTGATATAGTGCCTTATCACGTCTTCGAGATGTCTCAAAGCGCTTCACAGAATATACTGTAAAGTTTAGTGACTGTTTTGTAGGCTAGATAATAATTCATTGTGTCTTATTTTGATTACTTTTCTACTTCAATTAATAAAAATGTGTGGGAACTGAAAAGATTGAAGTCCAAAAGTAAAAAGAAAATAAACACCTCTTCAACTCCTCATTTATATCACTCATTCACATCTTGCCGAACATAAATTGTCTCTCCCGTCTGCCTACATAGTCACTACATTTTACAAAAAACACTGTGAATCACAGAGATATTTCGATGCGATGAGGTCTGTATCAAAAGTAAGGATTATTATTGTTTGTGGACCTTTGAGTTTTCTACCTTCACATAATATTTAATTTGAGGGCTATGCATTTTCACGTAGTTGATGTACCATTTTCTAATGCAATTCAGCTGGAAGTTTTTTCTTAACTATTAGAGATTTTTTCAGAGCAATTCAATGAGGTGTGGTGCATGTCTCTTCATGCAACAGCACATTGAATAGCTTAGAGTAATACTAGTGGAGATGTTCCTCTTAAATGTGCTCCCCATTACAGTACAGATCAATGGTTAGTGCTGAAAATATAACAGTGGGATGTTTTTCTATAAATATATAGTAACAATAATAATCCTTGCATTTGATATCGTGCCTTATCGCATCTTCGAGACCTCCCAAAGCACTTCACAGCATATACTGTAAAGTGTAGTGACTGTGTTTTGTGGGCGAATTGCAGAAGCCAATTGCGCACATCAGTGTCCCACAAACAGTCGTGGATTAGGTGACCAAATTATTATTATTTTTTGGAGGGTTTATTGCCCCTGGAAAGCAATCTGCCAATCGACTAACAAGTGGGTTCCTACTTACTAGTTAGATTAACTGAGTCTTGAAGCAAAGCACCTAGCTCAGCCCCATTGGATTCCAAATGTAGTAAACATTTGGTTAAGTAGGCACAACGAAGGGGGTTATCTTGCTGTTCTCTCCTGCTTTTACATTTGTGTGTGTATGTGTCTGTGTGTGTGCTGAATGAGTGTATGTGAGTATGTCTCTGTCACTGTGTGTCTGAATGAGTGAGTGAGTGTTGTTGTTGTACATAATTGTACAATTAACTGGAGTGCAGAGAGGGTGCCTCACAGAGCTTAGGTCCAGTGCCTTGGGACGTTCTCCAACGTGAAAGGTGCTTTACAAATATATTTTTTGTTGTTGTTCTCCCCCCCTCTTGCACATGACATCACTCCACTTGCTGCTTGGAACGTCTGACCACAGAGATTCAATATAAACAAAGATAGACACAAAAGCTTTAAAAAATTAAATATAGGACCAGGTGAGTGGTCAAGAGAAAATTAAACGTTTCTGCGGACTAAGTAGTGTAAAAGAAAGATTTTATAGTGCATTATCATGGTGAAACATTGCAAAGCTTCACATGTAATCAGTCTTAAGTAAAGTGAACAAAGTGTGTTAATCGATTTTGTTAACCTCCTACTGTTCCCTGAATCAATGATTTATATTGTAAGGTGTTTCTATTGAAAGACTAATTCGAATCATGTGACGGATTAAAATTCCAGGCATTACTGTTTTATACCCACAGCTTAGCATTTGGTTGCAAAATAATTGGGATGGAGAGAGGTGCCTCACAGTGCTTAGGTTAAAGGAGTGTTGGCATTACTCTAGCACCCAGACTGCCGGCTGTGAGCTCATTACAAACACTAATCCACGGTCTGCAGACCAAACCTTTCTATTCAGCCACGTAGGCATTGAATAGGAATGGTAGCTTAACATAAGAATGCAATGACTGAAAAAGAGCCATTCAGCTCATTGAGCTTACTATTTCCACAGACAGTGCAAAATCAACCTGGATGTCAATCCATTCACTCCAGAGAAAATATTGTATGCCCTCAGCCCTCAAGGTAATTGAGCAGAACTCTGGAACATTCAATTTACTCCACAACTCCACTATTCATTCCCAGTCTCCCATCCACAGCCAAGCCCCTGTCCACCACCCCCCCCCCCCCCCCCATCCCAGCTCCATCATCGCAGAAACAGACCATGTACTCTGTGGAGTTTGTTTATTTCAGTATAGATCTATCCTTATATCCTTCATTGTTATTCTCACGCAGGTGTCCAGATATTTTTGTAGGAGTTAGTCGAGGCAACATCAACTGTTTTTGTTGGGGATTTGTTCCACAAATCCTTACTCTCTGGGGGAGGGGGAGATTTTGAAAAAAGTTTCATGTGAAATATTTAAATATTAATAATCTTATAATAATAATTACATTTGATCTTGTGCGTTTCACATCAAGAGGATGTATAAAAGCACTTCAAAGGCTATATTGTGAAGTGTAGTGACTATATTTTTAGACAAGAGTTTATTCCCTCTAATTCTGTTCTTGTGGATTATGATCAGTACATTTGTCTCCATATTCAAAAAGACTAGGAAGTTATTATATTATATTTCAAGTAGCTCCAGCCCTTGTGAAGAGCTTTGAAACCTGTCAATGTGATATATCACGTCCAGATATTATCCACACATAATCCACACATTATCACATCTAGGCTTGACTATGCCAACTCTCTGCTGAATTCTTCCATTCACAAGAACTCTGCAGCTCGTGTCCTCTCATGCACATGGCTCCACAAGCCTATCATCCACATCCTTGTCTACTCTACTGACTCCCCATCCCTTAGAGGATCGAGTTCAGCATCCTTGTCCTCACTTTTAAAGCTCCCAACCTCTATGATGTTCTAAAATCCAACAAATCCACCTGCCCCCTCTGCTCAGTAGGCACTTTTCTGCTTCACGTCCCAACCCTGCCCATCGGAGTCAGCCTTTCTGGCCCATTATCTGGAATTCCTTGTGGAGCTCCTTCACCTCGCCCCTTCACTCAATTCCTTCAAGGCCCATTTCAAGTAATCTTCCCCCCTCTGCTCCTGAAATCAAACTCAGGTACAAAGCCTTGCCTTGGGACCTCCGATGAGGTGAAAGGCGCTATATAAATGCAATGTAAGAATTACTACAATATTTAGCTAAGGATGTTAAGATTCAAGCTGTGTCCATTTGTGGCACTTGCTTTCACTGTGCCAGAGAAATGACAACTTTGAATTATATCCACTGAAAGTTTGCCACTACAGATTTCAACATGGAATATGCTTTTACTGGATTCACCTTACAGGAGATATACCAACTTTGCTATATTAGGTTAAAATACCATATTGCCATGTGAGTGAGGTGTTTTCCCAGTGCTCTGGTTTCAGATGAAACTTTAAAAGTCCCATTACACATCCACTGGGACACAGACTGATTACCCACAATGGCAATTTGGACTTTTGGAGGAAGCAGGTGGCTTAGCACATAGCTCATTTCTCTCAGCTGCCTCAATACAAATCTACTTTTGGATTGGGGAAAGAGTGTGTTGGGGAGTTAAACATATACTGGCCAGTAA